TCTAAAAAAAAAAAAAAATATATATATATATATATATATATATATATACAGACATTCACATTACTGCTTGAACTAAACAATCCAATTAACAGCTTTTGCCTTTTTGTTGAACGATAAAGGCCGATAAATTCAATCACTCTGTTGTCAGAGATAACGACTAATTCCTCTTTTTCTACAATATTGTAAACAATAACAAAGATATCAGCAATGAGACAAGCAGATGCCCAACTAACAACCCTTTATTAGTGAGCCCCTAACAGTGTTAGTTTCTAGCGCTAACGGTACTGGATCGCTGTTGCACAAATACGCTATACATAATCGTAGAACGCATGAATTATTACTTGAGATTCCAACTTATAACATCAACAATTGATTTCTTTTTGAAAAATGCATGAATCAGTTACAAGGAGTGTCGTGTGCCACTCAGAATAACTTAAACATGAACTTCAGAGATAATATGAAAATGAATTCGTAGATTCATCCAATACAAATGAGCAATTTTGTGGAGAATTCAAGAAGCCGATATAACAATAACAAATTTAACATTATACAACAGGTAGTGAAGTGACTGCCTTTCCATGCGAGTCGATTAAAACTCAGTACACATGAGAACGATCATAACAAAAAGTCATCTCTTTGATTGTTATAATCAAGTACATGTTCTCTGATCTTTGAGCTATTTGTCCATGTGACTGTATCTTGCATATTTCGGGTAACTAGGAACGCGGGATCCGTAATCAACTCAGTTCCCACGCGGACATGACCCTGTTCAACGAAATTGCTTGCCACACGTATCGAATCGGCCATTTCAAGGCGATACATTACAACCTAAAACGATGATGTTTAATTATTCGTACTTCATACACTCAATTTGTCTTCCACTAAACAAAGTTGCTATGCCACATACAAGAAAACGTGTGAGTTGCAAGACGGTTGAGTAGCACGTTATTTTCCAAAAGGTGTATGTATGAAAGAATTCGCTAGATGAATTGAAAGTTTTATTTCAGATAAATTGATTTTTGATAGATTCCTTAAATATGGGTAATTATTTGCTTTCAAAACGGTAATGAACAAACTGGTAATCGACGTCTGCAAAACGATGATGCAGATATTTTGCTGGCTCGTTCAAGAGAATCCTCACTAGGGATCAAACCGATTGCGTACAATTTTGCAAGAAGCTTTCGTGTGAAGTTTGTGCGAACTGGATCACCTAATGGCAATTCTTTAATCTTGTCAGCCAATTCTCGAGTCTGCAATAAAACTATCAACTTAACTTACTACTATTGAATTAATCTTACTGATAATGCAAGGAAAAAAACATTTGTATTGTCATTTGATACAGTTTGCTAAGATAATAATTCGTTATTTAAGACAGGCAGCAACTAAACAACATGAACATGAATTAAAAATCTTCCCCGTTCAAATGGAGACAAGTGAAAAAAATTAGAACTAACATTTGCAGCAAGTGTGTTGTACAGTGAATAATGTTGCCGATTTTTGATGTGATAACGACGTAATACTTTTGCCTCATGAAGATTGTTATCGATATCCCACGAGATGAAGTCAACCTTCTTTAATAACTTCTTTTCGTGGAATTTTAACTTTCTCACCATCTTTTCTCAGTCAATTTGTTCGGAAAAACAACCAACGTTGGTTTCGTTCGTTTCACAGCATATGTGCACTGTCGTAAGATGCCACAACACACTAAATGTCTGCATGATAACCACCTCGTTCTGTTGGGAATCTGTAACGTTTTGAGAAGTTTCATAAGTGTTGAAAGTGGCTTGAATGAACATCATGTTGTAAAAAAAAAGATAAATCGGAAACATTGCAGCACGTGTGTCTTGAAATTAAGTGCCAGCCTCATTGTAAGCAAACAGTAGACCTAAACTTAAGTTTCAATTGATATCTGTCGTAGTATGTTGTGGGCAACGAGGAATTTCGGAGACTTTTAGGGGCGACTGCATCCCTGACATCGAATTTCATCCCGGATCTTCTCCATCCCCGACTTTTACGGAATTGTAGGGATCCCTGTTCTCCTAAGTTTGATAATAATAATAATAATAATAATAATAACAATAGTAGTAAAGATAGTAGTAATAATAATATATAATAATATAATAACAATACTAATTAATAATAATGTTAATAGTAATAATAATAACAATAATATTAATATTGTTATTGATAATAATCAGGTCAATTCGAGTCGCCTGATTAACATTAGCACGTCACCATCGATAAACGCCATAACCATTCAGCATGCCTTCACAGCAGTATCGCGATAAACACAATGTATATTGAGCATGTCATACAATATCAGTCTTTTCTTACAATTTACATTTACAATTGGATCGCTGAATCACAACTGACAACCACATAATTGTCGCAGCCACACTTCACAGTTTCCAACTGTGGCGTAAAAGTGGTGAATAGACATGCTGAACACTTCTAACGGTCATTAATATGTTGCTATGGTGTGAAGGGTTCTGGGATGCGCAACAAACTTGAAAGCATAATGCATTTGAATAGATACACAGATTTCCAGTTAAGCGAAATATCACATTCAGGATCACCATTTCCAATCCAATGGTGCTCTCACAGCTGCATTTCTGTTTCTCTTCACCGTCGGATTCTACTGATTGTCCAGTTTTTGGAATGTACATATGTTGTCGGACGATTCTTTAAAATGCAAATATTATTGAAAATTTTGTGAGATACCTTCAGAAATGCAGCTATTTCTCTGAATGTGATCAAAATCGGCCGACAACATATATACTTTTCTGAAACTAGAGAGTTCTGGAAATCCGATGGTGTGAAGAAATCACTATGTTTATGGGCAAACCTGGGAGTACCCTTATTTATAGAGAAGATGACAACCCTTATATTTATATAGATATTGCTTTAGTAATGTATGGAACGATCCATAGTGATACAATGTATTTAAACGAGCGCCACGGCGCTACTTGAGGTACCCTTGAGAAATCAGCTATATTTCCTCATGTAAGCAAAATCGCCCGGCGACATATACGTTTTTCTTAAGGAAAGTAACTGAGATAATAATGGACAAATTAATGAAGAATATTTTCAAGTGTGTAATAACAGAATAAGCGGGACTTTGTTGATCAGTTTTTAGAGAACTTTTTATCGCGTTCACAAATCTTTCTCCGATCGAATACCCAAGCATGAATTAAAATATATCTATAGATCAATTACCTCTTTTATATCTTCACTTATTCTACAAAAATTCATGTATTTACAGCTTGATAAAGCAGTGGAATACACGATAGATATCAAAGATTCAGTCATCGAAGACAATTTGCAAACCGAAAACAGTTTCTGATGACGGTTTGAAAGATCTGTTACGCACACATTCTGGTTCTCTTCAACACTCGTTCCATCATACCGTAATCCGCTATGTGCATTACTTTTTTCATCATTTCAATCGTATTACTTCTCACAGCAGTTTCTCACAACTCACTGAATTAGAACGGTTTCTGATACAGATTTCAATTTACCGTCAAATTTTTCGCTTTTTTACTCATGCTCGCCCCAATGTATAATATGATCGTCTCATTTAGTTCTGCTTTTTGTGGTTCAAGATCTGCGTACGTTCGGCAATGCTTGACCAATCTCTCTGTCGTGTAATCATACGTATGTCTGTTGCTGCATGCTCCCTGTCGAGCACTGATTGTCAGTGACGCAGTGTAGCGAGTGGCAAAAGGTCTAATCCCTCTTTTAAACGTTGCCCGAATTTTAGCCATACGGAATTGTTTGAAAGTGAATGAATTGTTTAGTGGCCGTGCATATTTGAAGTGTACGAATCGCTTAGCAGTTTCGGTGGTTACTGATTATTGTGCGCGTGGCTACATTTATGTTTGTGCATCTGTGTAATTGCTGCTGCTGCTTCAAATTTGTTTTTGTGAAATGAGCTGTTTTGTGATCTGAATTCTTCCGTATGGTTGAAATTCGGGCTGCAAATTGGCCATTTTTAATATTTTAAGATACGAGACGCCGCGTATGGACCAGGAACTATTGAAGGATCTCGAAACAGGATTGACATTTCCACTAAGGGTAATAAAAACTACCAGAATAACTTTTGGTACTACCATAGTTTCGGGACTACACCACGCGTAGACACGCATGCGTGTGTGAGCCGAAGCCTATGCGTGAGCCTGATCCTTGGATGGGCGCGTTTACTATGCCAGGGAATTACCAGTGCGTGCGTGTATGTAGCCCCGAAACTATAGTAGTGGTTAACTGTCTTATCCAGAGAAAATATTGCACAGTATAATTGGAATGTCCAGTATCATTCTTGCTATAACTTTATTCGACGGAATATAAACTGTTCTTCATTCATATATTTATCCATTAGAATTCTTGAAAATTAATTTGATCAATCCAACCAGTAATGCTTTATCGTTTCTGATTTTAGTATTTGGGCTATGTTCCAATCCGGGAATCTTTAAAAATGCTTGCGGATTCGGCTGAAAAGGAAAACTTAACAAGGTAAGCAAGGCTATCGTCACGAATTAATTGTTTGTCCAATCTTTTATCTAAGCTCCAATATAACCAAATTTCTGCAGATAAAATCAGGTGTTTGTAAAATGTGTCCAACTACGAATGTCGCAAGAAACTGGATGAATTTTCAGGCATTGCATGTATATGGTGTGCAGTCAGCTGGGTCTCTGTAGGCCTAATCCAACTGTAGATGGCCATCTACTATCGGTTTGTTAGTATATGTTCAAGTTCCTACTTGCATTCTTGAAGATGTTTCTGTATATATTTCGGTTATAGTTATTGGATGCACCGTGTGTTCAAAATAAAATGGTTGATTTGAATGTAGCATTGAAAGCATTCACTATACTCGATGAGGATGGGGTACATATTCTGGAATATCATCCTATTGATGTGATTTCTTTCGCATCGCCTGGGAAGGAGGTGAGTTGGATATGTTTCTTTTTATTTCCTTTTGTTGGCTCTGTATTCATTTTATCATTACCATTATTATCATGGATGTTATTTCTGTTACTACAAGTTTAATCACTTCGTTGTTAGTCTTACTTTACAAAGTCAGTTTCAATTAGATATTCTCTCATTTACTTTTTTTCGGTTCAGGATCCCTTGAGAGGTGTTCTGTGTTTTGTCTCAAATGTCAGCTCTGAAATGGGACGTAGGTGTCTTGTTTTTATGGAGGAGGATCGAAACATTGATTTCATTATGGGCACTATGGGTAAAATTTTTCATCTCAAAAACCAAGGTGATCATTCGTTTATTTATGCAGTATGTACTGGGGTCGAAAACGAACGATAAAAGCTTCCTTGGTAATCTTCTGCGAAAACTGTAGTAGGAAGCCTGAAATTTGGTCTCCCATCCCTGAAAAATCTCTACGGTGTATTTTTTACCATCATTATTAGCCTTAAGATTAATTCCCATCAATATTTTCATTGTTGCTATTGATAATAATACAAAAAAGTTGGTTATTGAGATTCTTAAGAATGTGATTGTTGTTTGTATGATTATTGTAAATTAGGTCATAGCGCGCGACGTGTTAGCGCAGCAGAAACTTCGCAACATCAGACGTTTGCTGCAGGTTTGTTTGGTTTCTTATTGATTGTTTTCATTTTGTTTGCATCAGCCGCAAATTGGTTGCTTTGTAATTCTTCCAAAAAATGTTAGTAGCAGTCATATGGTGCAGTTGTATTGAGTTGATTATTTAGTTGTTCAGATCTTGCATTCAGTCACCATATATGTCAGCATCTCTTTATACTTGCTTCAAGCACTATACCGTTACTGCCCCATTCACTAGGGATCACTCCAAAATTATATGATGTTTTTGGCAAATGCATGAGGACTCTTTTTGTTTATTGATCTCATTGTCAGTTAAGATCAGCTTATTGTTACAATGCTTCAATACACCAACAGTTGTAAATATGACCTCATTGTGGATAAAATCGGTTACTCGTCAACCTCATATACTTAACCATTGACGGTACCACATCTTAGTTAATCCGAGAGTCTCATTGACTTCGCTATGCCATGCTTCATTTGACGGTCCCTTCGCGTTGTATTCTGTCATTTTGTAGCGTGTCATAATTTGTATTCTTGATTGGGTTATTGAACAGTCATTATGAATATGTCTGCTGTAAGGGATATGCAAATGATATTCTCTGATTTTCAGGACGTGAGTATATTAACGTGAACAGTTTGTCGGTGGCTCAAGGATTGGAAAATGAGCCTTGGTTTCATGGGGAGATTAGTCGTGAAAATGCTGAAGCTCTTTTGCACAATGAGGGTGATTTTTTGGTGCGTATGAGCAGGAATACAGCGAGGAATTTTGTCTTATCAGGAATTGCGAATAGGAAACCAAAACATTTTCTTCTATTGGACGAAAACGATCAAAAGGTTAGCATATTGTTCTTTTAGCGTGCATAATACAAAATTCATTCATGTATTTCTGGCGTTATGTTGAAGTAACGATTGTTTCAAAATATTGTAAAGATATTGTAAAAATTTGTCCATATTTTGTTGAAGAACTGATGAATTTCCAAAGTATATGTATATGGAAATCAATCAGCAAACATCGTGATCTGCTATAAAGTTGCACTTTAAACTTTCGCAAGAGCGTTGTCCTGTCGAATGCGTAATTACGAAGATTATCATTGTTAAAATTCGATATTGCTTCGTTATCTTACAAATTGAATTCTTCGTAATTCGTTATCTGTGATTCCTTTTATTCATTAGGTCACTGTTTAGCATGTGAAAAATGAGATGAATTTGCATTTTATCTCATTAAGGTATTTATTTGCGTTTACAATGCGGGATTATTAAATTTATTTGGTTGTTTTAAGAATGTCAAGAATGGAGGGAGTCATGACGAAATCATGATTATGTAAGGATAAGATTTAGAGCAAGTATTCTTTTGGCATATTTAACGCGTTGTGTATCTGTATGTGTGGCAGACATATAGGAGAATATGTAATTGAACTCATTCTAACTCAATCAATAATCTATCTATTTGAATCGCTACAATATTTCGAATCATATTCAATAGATATGTGCGGATCAGCCATCTATTATGTTATTATTATGCGATTATAATAAACGTATCAAAAGTGAACAATAGTCAATTTCTCATCTAGGTCATCACTTCCAACTCATTTTGAAGTGTCCTTCTCATTCTTATGTTCACGTTCTATATTTTTCCTTCTAAAAGTTTTGCACTATCCTTTAAATACTGTTACTGCTTAGAACTTGCAGCTGTAGACATTAAATATGCACGTGTCATAATCGAAATATTCTCATTTGATAATCACAAACTTCATCAATTTGAAACTGAATTGCATCATCGCATTCTAAAATAGAATTAAGTGTTGAAATGTCAAAAAACTTCAGGTACGCAAACAAAGTCAAGTATTCGAAACAATAGTGCAACTAATAGAACATCATCGTGCACGGAATGTACCAATTATCTCTGAGGGTAGTGAATTACATCTTCTACGGCCTATTCATCGATAAACATTTCGCGGATAATTGATCTATGTGCAGTTGTGTCTCGTCTCAATTATTATAGTTATTATCTGTGCTGTTTTGTTAATCAACTCACAATATTCACTGTTGTTATTGCTCATTATCAGCTGAGTGACTGATCAGAAAAAAGCGATTGAAAATGCGTGCAGCGTCATTTCACGTCGTGACCAGCACGCTTGTTCTTATTTTGATCATATCTGTAAACTGTATGCGCATTCTGGATACGAGTGTATCATGTGATCAGGTTATTTTATTTTATTGTTATTCATCATTTTGTTTTCTTTCAACAGTGTTTTTCTTTCAATTTCTTGATCTGTGCTTAGTCTTTGCAAAGGTCGCTTGTCATTCTTTGATTGAAAGCTAATGAACCTATTTTCATTTTTTGAAATGTGAGTTATTCAAGTCTTACTTCTCAATCTTCATCACCGATGACCTCATCTTCATCATCGTTATTGTTATTTCCGTTAACATTATTGAAATATCTCTATGGTACCCACCGAAAGCACAAATATCATATGTTCCATCAGATTCTCTTTTTATTATAGTGTACTTAATTTGCAATGATTATGTTCTACATGTCGGTAATACACCTCAGAAGTTTATCAGACCTTGTTCATCATCTTAAAAAGTTTGTTTCCGATCTTATTCGTCTGTGTATTCGCTACTTTACTGTTTTGCTTAAAATTAGTCATGCTGTAGGTAAGATTGGTGGCTATGAAAAGCTTTCACACTGATTCGCCTTCAAACCTAATTTAAACGACTGTGTTTCCTAGAGTTCAGCGTAAGATATCAGTTAAGATTCAGTCGCTGCATAATTATATCTCATTACTTTGAAATTAAGGCTAATCATCTTATAAATCTTTATCATAGCCATCCAAACTTAACTAATGTTCCTCAAAGATTCTTTATGCCTGCTTTTCGCTATTCTTATACGTGATATTTTTTCGTTATGTTTCAGAAGTGATATATAGAGATTATTTGTAAATGAAAAATATAATGAATAAAATCATTTGAATATATGAGTGAACACGAATTTATGTTCGCTTAAAATTATGTTCGAGTGATGAACATCATCAGTTTCATGGTCTCCTCAATTGATCTGTCTATCCAAGTTCTAGTTGCTACATCATGAAAGCGTTTGAGATGAGACGTTACCCTGAAAATGTCAATCTTTTCAATAATCATATTCATGAATTGTTCATTGACTGTGAAGCTTATTGATTGATTTGGGACACAGAATGAGTTCCTGTTGAATGTGAGATTCGAAGAACCGTTCCGAGGAATCATATATAGTGAGAAGGGATTTCCAAATTGTGTACACATCAACGCTTCAATCATTTCGCAGTCCAGTTATGCTGTGAAAGTAGGTTTATTCATTGCTACATTTGCACTCAATTCTCGCATACATAATCACATTCATGTATAAGATGATAATTTCAAAATCTGCTCTTTATTCGAGTACAAGTAAATTGATTTTAACTCTTGCAATTTGATTATTTTTCAAATTATATCCAAATGTACTGAAAAGGAACTACCTGAAGGTACCATTAAATGGCTGTGAAACGTCATTAAATGAAGAAGGGAATCTAGAGAATGCAATAGTGATTCAAGAAAGTGTTCATGGTATTCAAGCATCCGATAAGAAATATCTTCTAACGTGCATCCCAGCATCTTTAGTCACTCGGTAATCACTTCGCTTCGATATCTTTAAAAGGTATTGTGACACAAGTTCGTAGTATATCAAATTGGGAGTTGATTGGTTTCGTTGGTAAATAAAATTAGAGAAGTTGTTTGATGTCATTTATTTTCGCTGCATATTCAATTTTGATGCCACGAACTCTAATTAAAAATTCGCATCACGTTCCAGTTGTTTTCATAATCACCTGAGACGGGGTCACCAAAAATGATTAGAATAAGAGCTGGAAATTTTTAAAAATTTATTTTATATTCTTAAGCGAAACGATGGCTGTCGTGAATTTTGGTGGTGTTACGGTACGGAATTCATTCGCAACTCCATCGAATATTCTGAGAGGTCAGAGTTCATTTGAGAAGCAAATTAAATACTCGGTGCAGTTATTAAGTACCGATACTGGTGAACTTATCGATCCACTGTCAACTCCTCTCACAGTTGGTGATCCAATTGTAAGTATCACTATTGATTATCGTTTTTACTTTCAGTCAGATTGGCTTTTCTTTTTGAACTTGATTTCACTGGTTTAAGATTGATATTTGCCGAACTGGAAGTTAACGTTCGCAATTTTCATAAAGGGGTTGATGCTCTAGATTTATTTGGCGAAGAAAAGGTAATGGTAACGTGAAGAATTATTTCTCTATGAACTCATGTGTGGTTAAGAATGCATTGACAATAGAAGCGCATAGTGTAAAGTGTCGAATTTAACTTAACAAAATGATCATTATTGTCAGCAGAAATCATGCTTGCCTCAATTTTCAATGGTCTCTTCAAATGATCTGTCGTTCCAGTTTAAAAATGAATTGTTTGAGTGTGAGCATTGAAATACATTCTTTTATCTCGTCTCAGGAGGTTGATGAAAGCTTGAAGCTTTTGAAATATTACAATCGGTTTATCTTCCGATAGTTTTGCGGTGTTTGCAATGCGAAAAATATCTGTCGGTGATTGCATATTAAAATGAGCGAATTCACATTGCAGAAGAATTTTTGAGAGAAAAATAATTGAATAAAATCATTTATTGATCATTTTTCATACGGAATAGAGAATCATGCAAAACAATTTATTCACTGCTAATTCAGTAATCTCGTTTCTGCAATCGCAGTCTTCATAGCATTTTTCGGAACAAGTAGTCCTTCATTGTTTGACACCAAAATAAACCTTTATTTCAAGAGGTTTTAAATGTTTCTACCAGTGCGCTAATTTGTTCATTTGTGCATCATTTGAGAAAAAATCTTCAACGATGTTAGTAAAGGCAGTCATTCAATATTTATTTCTGAATACTTTTGTTAAGATGGACACAAAAAGTTGTCGTTGATGTTCTGCTTTTTGACAGATTTAGAATGAATGTTTCTGCGACCACACACGAAATTGCCTTAAAATGGACCAAATATATGGTTGATGTAATTTACATGCGTTCAATGAAACACGAAATATTTTCACTAGTATGCTGGATCGCAAAAACTTTAAATTCCTTATGAAGAATGAAAGGAAACGGGGTTAAAGAACGTATTCGTTATTCATGAGTTACCTATGATAGGTGGTTGGATCATTTACGTTCAGAATATAATTTGTCGCGTTTAGACTTACGTCATTCGTGTGCCAGTTATGTCATTGTCGTCGGATGCACGTATTGGACGATGCTGGGCCAAGGATTCGAGTTCATTTTTGGATTTGTCCGATGATAATGGCTGTAGCTTACAGTTGAAAGGCGATGTCTGGAGGCAATTCGAACGCATTCAAAGTAGTCAGATGATTGTATTCAAGAATAAAATCAAAGCATGGGCATTTCCAACGAGGTTGAAAACAATCCCATCATTATTGAAAGCTGTGAAATAATTGTATGCCTAATTGGCTTATTGATCAGTTTTTGATGCGCTTATTTGTGTCTTATATTTTGTAATTTTACATGAATGAATAATGCATCTAATCGCCAACTTATGACGACAATGGGGTTGGAGAGTTTCGTCGTAAGTCAGACTTGGTGGTAAGTTCGACTGCAGTTAGGAACTAGCAGTTCGTAGAGATCAAAATGTATTAGAAAAGCGGGAACAGGATCTTTAATTGGAATCAGATTCATCTCCTTTAGTAATCTCTGGAAAAAGGCTTCGGAAGTTTGTCTCAAAATCTTTAGTATCTCTAAAAATTTCCCACTATAACCTAGTTTTGAGTTGCCGGTTTGTTTTTCTGTCAGGACCCTTCTGATGAAAAATGTTTGTTCACCACAAACAACTCCAAATTCATTTTAAACGAAACGAATTCTTCACTCTCGTTTTCTCCCATTAAAGTGGAACAACACCACTTTAGTGACGAAAATCAGGAAAGACATTGTGTCGAAACTCAAAAATGACTGAAATACTTGGTGAATGCTGCTCATTAAGTCGAACATTTTAAAAAAATTCCTCAACTTCGATCAAAAACGTTCGTAAACGAAACGGTGTTCATAAGATGAAAGAAACTCTTGCCGAAAACTTTATGGTTTGCCCGAATTGTTCGTAAACTGAAGCGTTCATAAACCGAGCCTTCATTCCATAAACATCTAACGTTTTCAGGTGTATCTGAGTAAATACGTACAAAATTATTTTAATGAGCCCTCGAGAGTGCCGAGTAAGATCACTTGTTGTTAGAAAACTTTTAAAAAACCATATTTATGGATGTTATTTTGTTAAAATCGTCTATCAGTTCAGTTTAAACGGCTGACATGTCATTGTTGTTATATCGAAACTGTTTTCCTGAGAGAGACTTACATTTGATCGCTCTAAATAAAAAAATTATCATTCAGTGTTTCGCATTAGTCAAACGTCATGAGTTGACGATTAGCTGCATTTCATTTAGTTATTTTCAGCTTTCACAACAGTTCTAGGTCCTTATTTTACCGAATAGCTTTTGGTTTAGCTATTCCCAAGTGCAGTAGTTATGAAAACGACGGAAGATTCTGAGAAGTCATTCATTTGTCATGAATTTTACTCATTTAATTATGGACTCATGACGTTTCTAGTAACGAAGTGAATATATACTGCAACTTGCATATTTGCCATAATCAATGCGATGAAGTGTCTTGTACGAAACGTGAAAGACGACATCAGAACGCGGTCACTTTATTCGGAGATACCGAGCAAACAGATATCCACATGATTGGTACTAAATGGCGTTTCGTCGAGTCTGCTAACCAAGAGGTTTATTCAATAATTATGTTTATACTTTCAACTTGTCATTTTGCCGTCCCATTACTGTGCAAATATGAGAAT